TATTTACTTATTGTGATGAGAAGAAAATCTCAAGAACACTAACTAGAATAAAGATGTGCATTGCACTAAAGTACAAACTAGCATCTCATTTCTTCCAGTAATCCAATTGGTCTTCTTCACAGAATTTTTTGTAGTTGCTTTCACCCCTCCAAGGCTGTGAGAAGAGAGAATGTAACCAATTTACATGTCTTCAGACTAAGGTGGTAAACAAAAGAAATACAGAGTATGGGGAACTCGCTATAGGCACTTGGAAATGTTTGTTTGAGAGGAACAGGAATGAAAAGGGGAGAAGGGACACGAGGTTTTAGTGTGGATAGTAAAGCAGGTTTGGTGATAGTTCTGCTCACCAGAAGGATTTTTTGTGTGTGTGGATACATAGTTGTTGCTGCTTTGCATGGATTATCTCTTTGCAGTGTAAGGGAAGGAATGAGAAGTGGCGTAGAATGATCTCTGAACGATTGGTGTTCAGCTCTCAGGACTTAGGAGTGAGGACTTCTAGTTCAGTAAATCAGAGGACTTGCAATGTCAGGGACATGTGTAACAGGGTGTTATGCAAGTGGGCTGCCAGTAAAAGAAGAAGGATTAAGGAATTAGCTGATGCACAGTTCAGGAGTCTAGGAGTTTTGCAGTGTGAAATGGTGAGTTAGAGCAACTTGAATTGTTTTCTCAGGACATAAGGATTGTGATCCATCAAGTACCAACCGTCTTCCTCTAAGTGCTCAATTTCATCATATCTTTGCTAACTTCAGTGTGAACTGAAAGCAGTAAACTGCTCTCAGGTTTGAGCCATTCAGCAGCACCACAGCTTCTTGGACTGTTGTGCTTCTGTCAAGGATTTTTAAAGACAGCAATGTTAGTGAAACACTGCAGTGAAATTAGTTTGTATTGTTCAATCCCTTTTCCAGGAGAAGTATTAAATTTGGAGCCTGATTTTGATATTACTTAGAATAACGCAGAAAGGATTATGGTGATGCCAGTGGAAGTAATTAATTTGCTTTGTGAATAAGCAATTGTTATGATTACAATTATTTTTCTAAAATCTGTTTAGCGTGAGATGAAGACTGAGTTCCTTCTAGCCCTACACCCCACCTCACAGCATTTGAAAAAGAGAAAACAAAACAAAAAAAAAAAAGCGTTTCACTTATGCATTTCAAACTTGTTATTATTGTTTTGGCTACTTTGTCTTGTTTTTGCAACATAAATTTCAATATAGCCAGGATCATACATGAACCTACTGAAACGTAACCTTCCTGCATATTCAGAGCACTTAATTTGGATGCTGTTGGGATTATTCATTTCTGTATCCAAATCACATTCTGAACTTTTTATATATTAAAAGAAAGCAAGAATACTTCCTGATTTACCTGCTAGACAAGGGAGTACAGTATTAATGTACTCATGGTGGTACAGATAACTAAATCAAATAGATCTTAGCTTTTCAATTTCTGTTTGAATTATAGGAATTGGGACTATGAACATGATTGTTTGTTACTGGTATTTTATGCAACACAATCAGTTTTTGCCATAAAGAATTGATATTCCAATATGCAAACCATGGAAATTCAAGTTAATACAGGAAACAGATGGAAAATAATGAATCATTATCAAGGTTGATATGACCTAAGTAAAAATTCTAAGTATGTTTCGCTTTTTAAAATAATTATCTCAATTTTCAAATTATATTTTTAAAGAAATTGTTACAAATACCAGTACTTTGTGTTTGGATGCTTCAACATAATGCAAATGCTGACACTTATTTCAGCAAGAGCAGGATCTTACTTACTGTTTTCAGCTAAATGCATAATTTTGCTTTTCTATTCTGTTAAAAATGAATTTTAATTGTAATACATTTTGTCATGTCTTAGTATAAAATAGATATGTTGTCCATACTGTTTAATTTTTAGATACCTGTAAATTTTTAAAAGTTGTAGTGTATGTTAATTGGTGTAACATCCACTCTCATGTTGTTTATATTTGAAAGCATATTAGCGGTGTATTCTTACAGTAAAGAAGTTCAAAAGTGTTGCTAGCTAAAATAAACACAGTCTGATGTTTCTAGAATAGTAATTTAGAGTTTCTATTTCTCAGAAGCAGAAAAAAAAATTATTGTATACATCCAGTGAAGGCAAGATTTATTTTCCAAACTGCAACATAGTCTGAATAGCAAAAAATTTCAAGAAGGCTGTGGGTGGGTATAGGGAAGGATATCAGTCTGCATCTTCTTTAAAAGTAGGCAGATAATTCTGTTGGTCAATCAAAGCTTTTAGCGATTAACTAAATGAAGTTTTTTGATGTCAAGCCATAAAGTGGTAATTTCTTATTGAGTAAACCTTTATTATTATTCTTTTGCACAAAGAGTTTTTCCTTCATTTTATAGTTGAATTAAACAGTCGTAATGTTGGGCTACACCAGTCTTTTAGAGTAATCCCAGCCATATTACGGTGATCTAGATTGGTATTGTGTGTCCTACAACGCTGTCCTAAAGTTAAGTACTCAGTTTACTTCTGTAATTATGTATCTGGTTATGAGACTATCTGTCTCCAGAGCGTTGCACTGATGGTGTCGTGAAATCTAGTCAAACCAGTTCCAGCATCAGATTTCAGATTTCTGCTGAGATTGAGATTGAAACAGCAGTTGCAGACTTTTTTGAAATGGAAATTAATGGCATATAGTCCTTAGGAAATAGTTGGTTTCTTTGTTTTTGTTTTGTTACTTGCTTTGTTTTGTTTTTAATTTCTTTGTTATTACTTGGAAGATGTTTTGGATCTTTAAGGATATTTTTATACAACTTAAAGTTGAAATTCAATATAAAGTTGTTTTTTTTTTTACTAACTTTAATATCAGGAACATTTAAATAGTTGCAAATAATACATCTGCGGTGGTTCAGTCTAGTTTTTCACAAAAATTTAAAAGTATGACTTTGCTTGAAGTGCAAAAATGATTATTAGAGTACTCATTACATAGATATCATAAAAGTAAAAAAAAATTAAATAAAAAAGTAAACAACACCTTCAGAACTCTGACAAATATGACATTAACTTGAACTCTCTCTAACCTCTCAACTGGATTCACATTTCCAGCTTCAGAAATCAAAGATCCATGAAAGATTTCAGGTAGTTTTTTCTGATTTTGTTACGAATATGGATTTTGTTCTTTCTTTTTTTCTGAATCCATTATTTGTTTTCATACCTTCTTATGTTTTTACATTCTTCTTCTGCACATACGTAAGCACTTAAGCCTAACTTTAATCACAACTTTGCATGTTACTTACGAAACCAAGCAGGATCTGGCAAGTTACAGTTGTCAGAATCTCCGAATTGTTAATATGTCCTAAGTCAAATGAGTCAGTTAAACTATATGCTTGATAAAAATATCAACATTCATTATATTTATCCATTTCTTAATTTTGTCTCTAGATCATACATCCTGGTTATAAAAATTGTGGCTTTGTTTTGCTAACAGGAAAGTTGAAAGAAAGGGCATCTCAAAATCACCTAATATGTTGAGCTGCACTTTAAAATGACCATGGCCTTTCCTTACTTAAAAATGCATATTCACAAACTCTGAGATGTTTTCTGTAGGATTATGTAGCTCATGGATGGCCTAATTTTTTTGCAAATGCAAAATGGTATGTTTAATTTTTTAAGGTACTTACTATGTAAGTGGAACATACAAATGTTTTTTAGCTTCAGAGTATACTGGACTTTCAAAGACTTGATTTTGATACTGTCATAACAACTGGAAATATATCTAAAATGGATAAGATTAGAAAAAATTATAGGGCATGCATTTTTATTTCTGATTAGCTTGATTTCATAACAAGCTTGAATTTGTAATGAAGTAACACGAGAATGTTGCTAATGCATTTTTGGTTGTATTTTTAATTGGCTTGTTGCTGAGATTTTAGATGGCATTTAGGTGATAAGACTGACAAATTTTTAAGTGTTATTCGTACATACAGACTCCACAAAACCTGGATGAATGGCTATCAGTAGTTATCAATCCTGAAAACATACTTTTGTAAAGGTAAAACTTCATATTAATTCACTATTATGGATCAGATGGTACCTTAAACATTAAAATTGTAAGACTAATTTGTGAATACATATTGAAAAAAAAACAGCTAAGTATAATATGCATAAGCACTGAATTTTTATCATGGTTGTCATTCTTCACTCACAGCAATAAATCAGTGAGGAATAAATTTGTTTACATTAATGAAACTTGTTTAAATAGGAGGAAGGTTAGGATTAACAGGAGATCCCCTTTGAAGATATTTGGGTAAACTTTTTAAGAGGGACAAGCACCATATTTTTTATTTTCAAAGTCTTCAACATTTAGATACACTCTCCTACTGTTCTTCATCTTCACAGGCTGGGTAACAGTAAGGTGTACAACATCCTGAACTTTTGTATTCTGATATGGGTAATGGGTTCAACAATCAAGGTCATGCCAATTCAAGATGAACCATTTTATCTGTCCACAGTATGCTATACTTGCTTTCACCGAGTGTTTGGTTTTTTGTTTTTGGTTTTTTTTTTAATTATTACTACATTATTATAGATCTTTTAAGGGAAGGTAATTAATGTGAAACACATTTTGTCTTATAATTTGGTTTGCAACGTTAGCCTAGAAAGAGAGGAATCAGATGAGAACACTCACGTTGACACAATCTATGATAATCTTTTCATGTGAGAATAATACCTGCATTTGTTTAATCTTTTATCTGAAATGTACTGTGCTGAAAGCGGTATATTATATAGAGCAGTTAATAGTTTTCCTGTTATTCTTTTAATTCTTCGTATTGTACATTTGAAAGAGATGCAGAGCATTAAAAAAACCTGATAAGCTGTATTTCATTTTATTTTTTTAATCTTTTCTTTTAAAAGCATATTAACTAATTTGCTTCATTTTTTCCTTCCTTTTATAGGGTAGCAAAATATTATAGTGTTCATGCGCAAAGCAGAAGTATTATTTATATATATTTTTTTTAATTACAGGTAAAGATTATAGTTCCCAACAGCACAGCAGGTCTGATAATAGGGAAGGGAGGTGCTACAGTGAAGGCTATAATGGAGCAGTCAGGGGCTTGGGTGCAGCTTTCCCAGAAACCTGATGGGATCAACTTGCAAGAGAGGGTTGTCACTGTGAGTGGAGAACCTGAACAAAACCGAAAAGCTGTCGAACTTATCATCCAGAAGATACAAGAGGATCCACAGAGTGGCAGCTGTCTCAATATCAGTTATGCCAATGTCACAGGTCCAGTGGCCAATTCCAATCCAACCGGATCTCCTTATGCAAACACTGCTGAAGTGTTACCAACTGCTGCAGCTGCTGCAGGGCTATTAGGACATGCTAACCTTGCTGGAGTGGCAGCCTTTCCAGCAGTTTTATCTGGCTTTACAGGCAATGACCTGGTGGCCATCACCTCTGCACTTAATACGTTAGCCAGCTATGGATATAATCTCAATACATTAGGTTTAGGCCTAAGTCAGGCAGCAGCTACAGGGGCTTTGGCTGCAGCAGCTGCCAGTGCCAACCCAGCAGCAGCAGCAGCCAACTTGTTGGCCA